CACTGAGATGCATATTATAGGACCTATATAGTTTCTAGAGGCAGTGGACTAATTAGTTCTTTAGCAGTGTCTGCAAGATTAAAAAACAAAACTAAATAGTGGAGGAGGAACGCACCTTTGTTCTTGCGAAGTACTGAGAGGCTTTCCCCTCCAGGCCCTCAGCTACTGTGTGACACAGCCTTGGGACTCACAGTGCCAGGCAGAACAGCAGCACTGACATCGCCTAGGAGCTCGTGAGAAACGCAGACTGTCAGAACCCTGCCCAGACCTGCTCAGTGAGAATTTGCATTTTAACAAGATTGCCAGCTAGCACACTGATGTCTGAGAAGCGCTAATACCATAGAAGCAGCCCTCAACAGACCATCTGCCTAGATCATGACCAAAATAATGTTATTCTGGGAAATTTTCATACTAATCGCCCACTGTAGCCATAGTTGAAGGTTTAAACCCTTATAGAACATTCACTTTTAGACAAGGTGGCTTCTACTAAAATTTCTAAGATGCATTAATTGCAAATTGTAGCTGCAAGTACCATATGATTTAATGGTTTTATAAGGTTGGCTTAAGACTAGCTCCTCCATTCCATGTCCCATGGAAAGTTCATCAAGATTTCTGTGAATTCCTCACGTCACTAAATAAATTTTGTTTACATATTTCTCATGGTCCTGCCTCTGCACTCCCTGCTTTCTGAATGAGAAACCAAACTTCTCTTCTTAACAAAATCATACACATCCAAGACCTCGTCTCAGTGCAGACTTACTGAGGGTTTTGGGGAGACCGAGGAATGACCATAATAATTACGCAGACATGCTAATATTGAACATCAGACATCCCCCTCAGAAAGGCCCTGCCTGAGAACTGATGTAGTGACATAGCTTAACAGTTTGTTTCACTAAAACTCTGCCCTGTGGTAAATAGTAAATAAACAGACGACTAAAGCATCTTACAGGGAATTTATGTTTAACCAATTAGGAGCGTGGCAATTACTTTCCTCGATCCAGCCGAAGGATCTACAGCAAGGTAACTGCTGTCAATAACGAAGATCCTGCAGCTACGTGGGGAATCAGTTATCTAATTAGTGGATTTTAACAGAAGCTGGCTCCATGCTGGACAGGCTCAGCCATTTCCTTGGCAAAGGAAACAGCTACGCTGGAAGATTAGCCTAATGAACACCAAACAAGGCCCCAAACCAAAGCCCCCTACTCAAAGCCTCCGTTGCACACACTTGGCCAGGGGTTCTCAGCTCCCACTGCACATAAGAAACACCAGGGAAGCTTTGAAAAATGCTGACGCTTGGGTCCCGTCCCAGAACAATTAAACCTGAATTCCCGGGACTCAGGAGAGGCATCAATACTTTTTATAAAGCTCCCCATGTAATTCTAACGTGCTCAAGAGATCAAAGGAAAGACTTCTCTCTGAAATAGAAATGCTGCTTCATGTTTTCAATAAACAAAAGATGATTAAGTGAAAAATCCAGGGTCAAAGCAGTGTGATCACATGGGGCAGGGGGGTGGGGACTGTTTTTATGCTCTTAGAAAAAGGTTTGAAGATTGTCATCAAAATGTTAACTATGGCAGGACTCTGGATGAGTCATATTTTCTTCTTTTGCTTCCCTTTTCCAGTCTACCTGCAATGAATGCGTACTGCTCATAAAAAAGATAACTTCAATTAAAATTAAAGATACCAGTGGACCTTCAGTAAACAAAAGTAGGCTGTGACAAGGGACAGTTTAAAGAGCGCAATGTAACCAAAGGCACAGCAGCCAAGATAAGGTCCAAGTTGGAAGCAGTGGGAGGCAGGTTTTCATGAAAGTAAAATGAAGTTTAGTGACAAATATGAAAAGCATTCCCGGAACAGAGAATAAAAAAGCAATGAAAATGATGAGAAAACAACATAAAAAATGTTAATTGTGGAGAATTATCTACTGAATAGGTGTTTCTAAAGAAGACAAATGGAATACAGGCATGGAAGTTGTAACAGAAAATTTAAAAACTTAAACAGAATCCTCCCCAAAGCAAAATAAACAAACCAGCTGAATTTTCAGAGATCAGGAAGACTCACATATTGTGAGCAAAATTAGCAAGGGATATATTCTCTGACTAAGTTTTAAAATTTCAAAGAAATAATAAATAGTACAGAGGAACCAAAAAAAGGGAGGGTGCAAGGGACTGATTAAGAATGAGAGCAAGGTAGAAAAATAGGGTAAGAGAGCGACAAGCTGAAAGAAACTCCTGCAATCCAAGTAGAAAAAGTTATTCAAAAGAAAAAATCCAAACTGGACTTGGCCAATAAACATCTGAGGACAATGAGAAAAATGGCCCAGTTGTGACGGAAATGGATTGTGACCCAGGAATTCTATACAAGAACAATCATTCAAGTGTGAAGGCAGAGAGGATTGGTCTCGGAAAAGTTAACTATTCAGATATTTCCTGACAAAGTTGCTCAGAGTTTCGAGGTCGATGAAGGGAGTGGGCCCCTGTTGAACTATCTACCCAATGCTCTTTTTCTAGGAATTCCCCCCCTCCCCCATCTGCTTGTTCTCTCTCTGCACTGCGACTGTGCAAAATAAATAAATAATAAAAAATACGTGGGGTGTGCTGAAATGTCTTTTCCCTTTTTCATGTGCTCTTCGAGGCAACTAAATTTCAGAACCACCTGCTTTACATATGTTAACTTAGAATCATCCAAAAGATTTTTGAGGACAGGGATTCCTGTTTGCACAGATGAGTGCTCAGAGAAATTGGATTGGAAATGACATGTCCAAGATCCCAGAGCTAGGAAGCAGGGAGCTGACATCTGGGTCCAGGCAGTGCTCTGAATCACCTTCCTGCAGTGAGGAACAGTGTTTTTATAAAGCTTGTTCAATAATCTCACCAACAGGCCTTTCCACGTTATCTCTGCTGCAAATGAAGTAGAGCTAGGTACACTCGAATATTTATTGACTATATTTGCAAACTGCATTATTTCTCCACCTTTCATATATACCCTTTCTGTCTGTTAAGGTTAAGAGAGAGATTGATCCCAGTATTCTAGTTAAATTAGAAGGAATTATGTCAGAGCTTTATTATTTTGTTTCTTTAGAGCTAAGTGACGTTTAACGTGTAACTACAAACTCATGTGAGTACGTTATTTACCATCTTTTCAGAAAACTAGCACAATTATGTCAAGTGACCTGTTACAGCTAATGTTAAGAGCAATATAATCATTAATAATTTTGATTACCACCTACATGTCTATCAGAGATAAGAGAGACTAGTCTTTGTTGCCTGTTATCAGTAATGTTCAATTACTCTTCACAAAGCTCATTTCTCAATACACCTTTTCACATTAACTGTGATGCATACTTAGGAGGCCTGGAGTTTTAAAATGATCACTCTAAATTTTACAAGGAAATCAGAGTTCAAGGAATTAAGAATTTTTGACCTGATATAATATTAAAAAAAAAAAAAACAACCTTTGTCAAGAAGTTAGTATAAGTCTAAATATCACAATTTTAATACATGGATATCTGTGACTATCTTCCATGAATTAAAATATGAATCTTTTATGCAGTTAAGAAAATGTAAGTTAATACCTTTTCACAATATTTAGGACTTTGTTAAAAATAAAAAGTAGTAAATTTCTCCAGTACCAAGCAGCCAGCACCTCTTGTTGTGGAGATGTAAAGTGTGCCAAATTAATAACATCAATCAGATTCTAAGAAGCAGAGTCTAGGTAAAATGGCACTTGGTTATTTTCTATTCTCTGATAGTTGGACAAGTCAACCAAGCAGCTGCAAGTGGGGTTCCTAGTCTCACACGGTCCCATTTTTCTAATGCAGTGTCCACAGAAAGATAGTTAACATTCGCCCCAATACAACTTTTTAAAAAATAAGAGCTAATGAAGATTTTTCTTCAGTTCACACTCGTTGCAGTCACTGTCCAATACAGTTTTTTCTGTACCTTTTAAACTCTGAGATTCTAAGAAAAATTTTCTCTAAGTTTCACGTTAATATAAAAGGTATTAGGTGATAAATGCCTGAGGCATATTAGACATTGACTTAGACATGCCTGAAATACAAGATTCAATAACATTTCAGTACAGCTGGACATTCTAAAGAAATACATTTTCTATTCAATAAATTTTAGGACCAAATGTACCAATAACTCATCAAAATTGTTTGCACTGTAATGTGGAAATCAAAATTGTATGGATTGATTTATTTGGGTGAGAATCATGATAAATATATCTAACTCTGGAAGTTTCCAGCTTCAGTAATGCATGTATCAGTGAGTGAAAATGGTGCACAGGTGCTTTGAATAAACATCCCATCAGGAGGAAAGTAAATTGGGTTTGATATGATTCCACCTAATGTCATGAAAGTTCTGTTTTCTCTTGGAAAATTCCCATCACAGGAACCCACCCTGGTGACACTGTCTTCCGGAGGGGGAGCAAAGCCCCCATCAGTGTGGTTTCTGCCTCCAATCAATCATAGGACTAGAAGCAAGGTGCCTTAACCTAGTCACGTCACTTCCCACAGCACTGACTTTGCTTCCATCTGTTCCTGCCTTTCTTTTTTGGATAAGTTTAAACAGGGATTCTCATAGGGAATAAGGCACAAGTAAAACTGATTTCTTAACAAAAGAACACTTGCCTTAATGGGAAAACGTGACCACCAAAGTCTGAACAAGGAAAAAGAAAAGCTGCAAAGCAGCCACGTACCTTTCCTATTTGGTTGTTTCTAATCCTCTGCACTTTTGAAAAACTGTATTTTTAGGGAAATGGAAACTGTAGTGTACATTGTTACAGGGTTCTCTCCCCCATCAGCTTCACCACAGAGCTGGCAGGTATGCGGATATTATTTGTAAGACATAAATATTAACAAAGATCTCACTTTGGCACGGTTATCAAAATAGCAAATCTGTGAAATTTCTAATTAAAACAAAACAAACCACATCCACACTACAAAAACCCACAATTAACAGGAACAAACAAAATAAATACCTAGGTTAGACTGATAATTTAAAAGTATATCCATTATATTCATAATGTATTAAATTGTCACTAAAAATATAGAAAATCACTTACATTTATAATAAAGTATAATAAAAGCCAAATTACAGCCAACTATTAAAGCTCTTTTTTTTTTTTTAATTTCTAGGGAACATATGAAAAAATACAGAACAAGAAAATCAGTTCAGTGGCTTCTTTTGAAGAAACGATACCACAGCCTTTCCTGTAGCACACTCCTAAGCAATTCCCTAAGTCTAATCAATCACATAGGATACTGAATGGTGACAGTCTCTCGCACTTGTAACTTGTAACTCCTAAACGGTCGATATCTAATAGCTTCATTTCTGGGTAAGAGAAAAAGCATTCTGGTCCATTAATTCACCTACTCGCTCCTGGAGGACATTAACCAGCTCTGCTATTACGAAGACATGAGTGTCATCAATGTCTTGAATGATGAACTTCTTCCCTAGGGCATTTGACTCATCCAAGTACAGCAGAAACTGCTTCATGGCAGGGTCACTGCAGAGATAAACACACGATGATGAGACACCTTGTTGTCAAGTTACACTGTGAACGATTCGAACTGAGCAGGTAGAATTTTTAGGATAATTTTTAAAAGTTCTACACTGTTACTCAACCCCTCACTCCTTCTCTGCCTGAAGTGTTAACAATTTATAGACATAGCTTCATTTTAGAACTGTTGGTGCAAGTTTAAGAGAAAGAAGCCAATGATAAGATTTAAAAGAATAATTTGTTACTGACAAATGAAAAGTAATGTTCAAAGCCTAGAATCACAAACCCTTTAACTGATTTAAACAATGCATTTCCTTACTTGTCCATGGTCATTACACTTAAGAACCCAACAGCTTTCACATCTTGCCCATGAAAGATTCCTTTACGAAACCAGTTAAATATTTAGCCCCTGTCCTAAAGCAGGCAGGAGAGGAAGTCAGATCTGGATTCAACCCCAGCTTTACCACTTCCTTGTGTGACCTTAATATGATCTTCATCTCCCGAAGCCTCAAAGGGAGCCTACGTGACAGACTTGTTACGGGAATTGAAGGAGAAAAATGCCAAGGGCAGTGTCAGCTTGCAGTGGGTACTCAACTTTTTTTTCTTTCCTTAAAATTTTGAACCTCATAAATCTGAACTATCATTCAGAATCTTTAAAGGAAATCCTAACAAAATCTCTTTGAGAATACTGAGCTCAAAGAAGAGATCCAAATTCAATTCTATTTATTTGTGGTTCTTAGTTTGGAATGAATAGAACAGTCATAAGCGAAAGAGGAATACAATTTTGGATTTACAGAAATATGTCTCTTTCCTAAAAACCCTGAATCACAACAAAGGACACTCTTTAGATCTAATACACAATATGTGTTTAGCAAAAGATGAATATAAGAATATCAAGTTGCATACAGATTTTTTTTTTAATTCTTAGAGAAAAGGTAATCTTTTCTAATCTTTAGTTTCTTGAGGACTGTCAACATCAATTACAAAGATAATTTAATTCAAAAGAAGTCACTATAACTTACTGAAAACAATAAAAATAAGTTTTATTTCTTCCAAGTACAAACTAAGTGTAAGTGAACCTAACAAAGGATTCTGTTCAGTCACTAGATGGGTACGGTTCACGGTGTATTAACTGTTAATAAAGTCAAGTCTTCCTGAAAAGATGGTTTCCTTAAGTACTTTCAACAACTTCTATTAAAATGATTGATGAACAATTCACTATGCCATAAGATGAGAGTAAATAAATAGATCTGCCCATCTATTTCAGTTCTGCCCAGAACTGACACAGATTTTAAATTTAGTTTCTAGTATGTTTATCTCACACTCAGATTCAGAATACTTAAGTTACACATAGCCACTTAAGTTTGGCAAAATTCAGTTCAATTCTACAGTTGCAGTACTAGAATGATCACACTAATGTGCAGAATTGATTTGTTCAGAAGTAATAAATTCGCAACTTTAAATTTTATTCACTCATTCAACAAATATTTATTGAGCACCTGTCAATAAATATAGGCACTATTCTGGTCCTGGGATTCAGAGGTGAACAAAACGACTAAGAACCCTCCCTGTTACGGAGGTCACATTCTAGTGGTAGCACGATGATAAATAAAAACACAAAAAACAGGGAAGCAGGATGAGAAACGGCAGTGACGAAAGTGATAGGATCTTGCAAGTTTAAACGGGAGGAAGGCCTTACTGAGCAGGTGTCATCTGAACACACACCAGAAGGAGGCACTGAGCAGCCACATGGTGCCACTGGGGAAGAGCATCCTGGGCAGAGAGAACAGCAAAGCCAAGGTGGCTGGAGGGGGTTGAGGAGTGGGAGATGAGGTCAGAAAGTTAAAACTGGTCCAGATCACACAGGGTCTTGGAGGTGATTTTAGGGACTTTGGCTTTCCCTAAGTGACAGAAAGCACTCTCAAATACAAACTGACTTAAATTTTAAATGTAAGGATCATACTGTCTGCTGGGTTGAGAAAAGACTGGGAGGTGCTGAAGGCAAGGGTGGAAAGAGGGAGACCAAGTAGAAAGTGACTGCAGTAATCCAGGCAAGAGGTGAGGCTTGGGACCCAGGTGGTAATAGTGAAGATGATAAGAGGCTGAATTCTAGACAGATGGTGAATAAAGTCAACATAATTTGCAGAGACTGGACTCGAGCTTTGAAAGAGAAGAATTAAGGAGACTCCCAGATTTTTGGTCTGAACAAATGGAAGGATGGAGTTGCCTTTATTCAGATGAGGAGGAATGTGGGAAGAACAGGTTTGCTGGTGAGATTAAGAATTTGGTTTTAGGGATCTGAGATGCCTACTGGCACCCAAATGAAGAAGTTGAGCAGGAATTCAGCAGTGCAATCCAGACTGAAGAGTAAAAGTTATTCATCAATGTACAGACAGTAGTTAACATAACAAGGGAGTGAGCACAACTACAGAGCAGAGTCCAAGGACCAAGGCCTGGACACTCCAACATCAAAAGGTTAGGAAGGAAAGGATGAATCAGCAAAGTAAATTATAAAGAAATGACCACTGAGGTAGGAAGAAAGCCTGCAGAGTCCTGGAAGCTAAGTGAACAAAAGATATTCAGGAAGAGGAAGTGATTGCCTGTGTGAAGTGCCGTTTAGAGGCATTAAGGTAAGATAAGGACTGAGACCTGACTACTGGATTCAGAAAGTTACTGGCCCTTGGCAAGAACAGTTTCCGTGGTCACAGAAGAGAAAGCCTGACTGGAGTGGGTTTCAGGATGGGAGGAGAAACTAGAGAAAGTGAATACAGACAAGTCTTCTGAGAAATTCTGCTACAAAGGGCAGGAAAATAGAGTAGGGGCTGGAAAGGGAAGTGGGAATCAGGAGTTTTTGCCCCGGGGAGGATGAAAGCATGCTTGTAATGCAGAGAATGATCCAGTAGAGAAAGAAAAATTGATAAAGGAGGAGAAAGAGGAATACTGCAAAAAAGGTGACTTTAGATAGGCAAGAGGGATGGGCTCCAGCTCCCAGGGAGAGAAGCTGGCTTTAGACAGGAGAAGGGACAGGTCACCTGCAGTAACTGGGCCCTCTTCTGAGTGCTTTTCTTTCCTCAGAGAAACAGGACGCAAGGTGAGGATCAGCTGGTAGTGAGGACAGGGAAGGGTTTTGACGTAAGAGAACTGAAGGTATGAAATGCTGTATTTCAACCATTCTAAGCAGCAAACTTCCCCCAACATTTTAATGTCTCCTAAATTGGAATGAGTCTTATAATCATGCTATAACTATGCAATAGTATAATTGGCAGTGATTTTCCTTAGAGGAACATACAATACTGGTAAGTGTTAAAATTGATGAAATCTTAGATTTGATGAAATATAACTGCTTTACCAGGAAAGTGGGAGAATAAAAGGATGGGAAACGAAGTAGGTTTGCTGGCTAGCATCAAGGGCCCACATGAGTTTAGCAGTCATGAATTTAAAGCGAGGCCAATTGGTATGCTTGTTTGCTTTTCTCCAGCCACTTAGAGCTGTGGCCGTAAAGGTTCAGAGTAGGTGGAGAGTGGATGGAACCAGATTTGGTTAGTGTGGCTAAATGAAGGGGAAGCGAGTTGAGAGTGTCTTTAAGACGAGCATACTGATGGACTGTGGAACCCAGGCTGGGTAAGGAGGAAAGTGAGGACGTTGGGTTGGTGGAGGACAGGGAAAAGGTGGGAGATCAACAGACCGTAGGTTTGGTAGAGTGGAAGAAATCAGAGTTAGGGCATTAGAGGGAGTGAGCTGGAAAGAGGAGGGGTGGGCAGAACAAGGTGCCTGACCTGGAGATTCTGAAGAGATGGCAGTATTGGCAGGGACAGGTGTAGTTCTGTCCAGGCGAATGAGTGGCTGTGACAAGGTGGAGGATAAGCTCATTGGAACAGGAGGTCAGGGAACTGAGAGGACAGGGTATTGAAAGGACCAACCACATGAAATCACTAAGAATCTGAAGAGAACTAGTGCAGAGTGACAGGTAGCCTTCGCCACCTGCAGATGATTACAAGAGCAGGGTTAGTGGGTGGTCCAGTCTGATGGTATGAGATTCAGAACTGGGGTTTCTAGAGAAGAGGGAGGGAGAATTTCTGTAAGTAATGAGGAAGCCATGAGGAGTAAGGTAGATACTCATCCCACTTCTTTTTTTTTTTGAGGCAGACTAGCCCTGAGGTAATATCTGCCAATCCTCCTCTTTTTGCTGAGGAAGACTGGCTCCAAGCTAACATCCATGCCCATCTTCCTCTATTTTATATGCGGGATGCCTACCACAGCATGGCCTGCCAAGCGGTGCCATGTCTGCACCCAGGATTTGAACTGGCGAATCCCGGGTCACCGAAGCCGAATGTGTGCACTTAACTGCTGGGCCACCAGGCTGGCCCCCCTCCCCCCAATCTCATTTCTTGACCTGATGGTACAAGAGGTATTAGAACAAAACGTCACCAGTTGATAGGACTGTGGGAGAAGCAGTGTGCTCAGGAGAAAGCCAGGTGCTGTTATAGCGAAAAAATAAAGGGGGGGGGAAGGGCGGTTTGAAGGAAGGAAAAGTGCAGAGAAGAGGCTGAGGACACAGTGGACTCTGCTGCTGACATCTCACTACGTCCTAGAGGGCAAAGTGGAAAGAATGGAGGGGCGGTGGGTAGGAGATGAAATTTAAAAAGCAGATGTACAGGGCCATAGATAATTAGTGTCAAAGGGATGAGGGATGGCCTGGAAGTCTGTGGCTTTCTGGGTGACCGAAAGCAGGAAAAGTCGGGATAATGGGCATGAGAATGAGGGTCTCAAGGCAGATAATGACATGAGACTGAAAGGCGACAACAGCCACGGAGGCTGGGAGAGAGAATTTAAGCAGATGCTGAAGAAGTCAAATCTCACATTTTCAGCAGCTCCCTAGTTTTGGCAATTACACAGAATAAAAATGTAAATAAGAAATTTCTGTAAAGAAACAACACACTGCACATTGAGAAATCTCACTGAGGTGAACAATTTTACCGATTATGGACGAGCAGGCCGTGAAACCT